TCATTTAGCTTTTCCAGTATTAGGAAAGATTTTAAAAAAGGAATCAATATCAGGCGAAATGAAAAACTCCCTGTTTCTGAATTCAAATTTCGTTTACGTGCCCCCGAACCCAGGCATTTGATCAGGGTTTTCTGCTGATTATCGCAACAACAGAGAAGAAGAATTAGCCCTCAATATTGTGGAGGGCTCAAATCACCGGTTCTAATCTTACTTTTTCTGTTTGATTTGAGCCCTCGATATGCCTGATGGTTATTCATCTTCCAATAAGAAAGATGACTATTGGGACGACGTTTGTGGCCAGGTATGTGTGTGTATATAAGATGAAATGGAAACARAAATGAAATCATCCGATATTGAAAACTCAGTTGCAAATAAGATAAAATGGATACAGACCAAAAAATGAAATCCGAAAAGGAAATGAAGAACCTGAGTTTTGAAGAACATGTAAACCAAGTCAATACCTCATAGAAATTGCTAGGGTTTTGAAGAAGATGTGGAGAAATGAAAACCTCAAACTTCTGGTTAGATGAGGTTGTCTTGAAGCCGCCCATTTGTGCAAAGGTTGCAGCAATCGAAGAAAGYAAATGCCTGATCTTACTAATTTGGAATAAGGCGCAGAGGAGGAATCATGAAAAAGGAAGAAGGCATAGDGGAGGAAGCTCGAAAAAGGAAGAAAGCCATTTTGACCTTACCCCAAACTGGTTTGGCGAGGAAGGGATTTCTGGAAATTGAAGAGAAGGGAAGAAAGTAAGGTCTGACCATTGCATTTAAAGTCGATGCATCCAAAACTTGTACCTCATGMTTTATAAGTTGTAATTAAGAGATTTTTGAAATTCTTGCATAAAATGGTTGTAACTTGTGCTTAAAGTCTTGTAATTAAGACATTAGTCTAAATGCTTATATATGTAGTATAGATATATTAATATAAAAATTATTGATGTTGAAAGAATCAATGAGACCCAAAAAATGAGGTTCTTATAAGGACTTTTAGACTTTTAATAAGAAGTTTTGATTTAATGAGTTGGATATGAGTTTGCAACAAAAAGTCAACTTCAAACATACACTAAAAACATTTTTAATATTATAGTAATAATAAGAATAATAAAACTTAATATATTAAGCCGTTAATCAATATACAGGGAAAAGTCAAAAAAAAACCTAACAAACTTTTTTATTTTGAATGGTTTAATTCATAAATTATTATTTTGAATGGTTTACTTCATAAATTATTATTTTGAATAAAAAAACTATTAGATATTTTTATTTTGAATGATTAAGTCCCTGAACTATTTTTTTGAATGAAAAAACAATTAAACTTTCATATTATGAATGATTAATTCCCTAAAATTTTAGAAAATAAATAAATAAATCATCAAACTTTTACTAAACGGTTAATATAATTTTTTGGGAAAAAGTGATGTAGGTAAGCAGTTTTTAAAAGTACGAAGATTAATTTATTAAAATAATGTTAAAAAACTTAATCAATCAAAATAAAAAAAATTTAATATATTTTTCATTTAAAAATAAAAAATTTGTAGTGTTTTTATTAAAAAATAGTTTAAGAATTTAATCTTTCAAACCAAAAATTTTTAATGATTTTATCACTTAGAAAAATAGTTTAAAAACTCAACTATTTAAACTAAAAAGTTAATATTATATATAAACTTAATACGTAGATAATATTTTATTTACGAAAGCCAATTTCTTGAAGACTTGTTCTTTTTACTGTTTTAGTTAGAACATAAAATTAAAGTAAATAATAATAAAGAATGATGCTTTGAAAGTTGTATTTTACTTGTTTTATAAATAAAAATCTATGCAACAAATATTATACACATATATATATATATATATAGATATATAAAGACGTTTCAAATGTAATTCATACATTTGTATAACCAAACCCAATCAATTAAGATATTTATGAAAATAATAAAAGTTCATTTATTATGATTTGAATATTTATGAAATATGACTAAAATTTATTAATTATGATCAATACTTTATATTAGAAAACAATCAAAACATTTATAAAATCAAATATTCATCAAATTAAATAGACGGTTGAGATTGAATTGTATTAGTTATACAAATGTAAAAGATTGCATAATAACTCATATATATATATATATATATATATATAACATCAAATTTTTTATGTATTAATTTTGCTGGTAGCGTAAGGTGCAATAAATTATCATGTTACTAATTTACGTTTTTAAAAAAATAATGAGTTTGACGAATATTTAATAAAAAGTTATTCATAAATCTGTATATGGATATTTATTTACATGGTTTAAAAAAATTATAAATATTTTACTAGAATAAGTAAATACCATATCTATTAACTAAATTATGTAAATATTGGAGTAATTAAATAATTAAAGGCACCACCAATGTAAAAATATATATTTTATTAACTAATTTAAGAACACCATTAAATGCAAAATAAATAAATATATTTTATTAATGTAACGGTCACTCTATACTAACAGATATACTTGTTATGGTTATTAATAAATTACTATATTTATATATTATCCTAAAAGGATTTAATTTTAAATTGTAAAAAAAGTTGGATAAAATCTTACACCCAACCAACCCATCCAACTCTCGATTAATTGGCAAAAATCCAAAATCTATATAAACACCCACCTCCTCTTCATAGCATCATATCCAGTCAAACAATCCTTCTTTAGTGTGTGTGTGTGTGAATGCAATTAGTGCTACTATATCCATAAGTCGCTACTCTGGTTGTAGAGGCAGAAGGTCACTCAAAATTGCTTTGATCAAGGAACTTTAATGGAAGTTGGTAATGTGTCTATGAAAACCCATAAACTGCCTCCTCCGCCGGCGTTGCAGTTGCAGACTCAGTCACCGGAGCCGCCACCCAGACCGATATGGCAGATAATAATGGTGGCTGCCATTGCCGCAGGTGTTCAGTTTGGGTGGGCTCTACAGCTCTCCCTACTCACACCATACGTTCAGCTTCTCGGAATACCCCACACCTGGTCATCCTTCATCTGGCTCTGTGGTCCAATCTCCGGCATGATCGTCCAGCCCGTCGTCGGCTACTATAGCGATGGCTGTACCTCTCGTTTTGGCCGTCGCCGACCTTTCATCGCCGGAGGAGCCATTCTGGTTGCCTTCGCCGTGGTTCTGATTGGTTATGCCGCCGACATTGGTGTGGCGTCGGGCGATAAAGCTGGAGGGAAGACGGCAAAACCTCGTGCTATCTCCGTCTTCGTTGTAGGGTTTTGGATTCTGGATGTAGCCAACAACTTTCTTCAAGGACCATGCCGTGCGTTGCTTGCTGACTTATCCGGGTCGAACTCCGGCAGAATCCGAACCGGTAACTCTCTTTTTGCTTTCTTCATGGCCGTCGGCAACGTTCTCGGATATGCCGCCGGATCTTACACTCACCTTTACAGATTTCTCCCGTTTACGAAGACACACGCTTGCGATATCTACTGTGCGAATTTGAAAACCTGTTTTTTTATATCCATCGCACTCTTGATGACGATAACCATTTTGGCCCTCACGATGGTAAAGGAGGAGGTTTTCCAACCGGAAAACATTGAAGAAGAGAAATCATCGGCGCCGAAAAGGATGGTTTTCTTCGTCGAAATGATCGGAGCACTGAAAGAGATGTCGAGGCCGATGTGGATCTTGCTTCTAGTCACTTGTCTTAATTGGATCGCTTGGTTTCCATTTCTGATGTTTGATACAGATTGGATGGGAAGGGAGGTTTACGGCGGTAAGTTGGGTGAAGGAGCCATGTACAACCGTGGCGTCCGTGCCGGAGCTCTGGGTTTGATGCTAAACTCCGTCGTCTCCGGCGTCGCGTCGCTGAGCATTTCGCACTTGGCGCGTATTTGTGGTGGTGTGAAGCGTTTGTGGGGTACCGTCAACCTGCTTCTTGCTGTGTGTTTGGCCATGACGATTTTGGTTACCAAGGTGGCGGAGTCTTCGAGAGATTTCACGACGGCCAACGGCACCGCCACTCCTCTGCCGCCTTCCGCCGGTGTGAAGGGCGGAGCTTTGGCTGTCTTTGCTGTTCTCGGCATCCCTCTCTCGGTGAGTGTTCTTTTAACTACTTGACGAATTAAATTATGTTTTAAATGCAGAAAAGACGAATAACATTTTCAAACGTATGACCCAATCTAATAGAAAAACGAAATGTAACATATGGATAAATTTTGTCTATCATATGTGCAACAAATTATATATATTTCACAACTAAAATAGTAATACAGGTGATATTTGTTGTCAAAATCCTTAATTTATTTTTGTTTTTTTATTTTGATTAAGAGTGATAACTTAAGAATTGATCTGGACCTTTAATCACCATTAATCTCAAATTTATCCGTAAATCGTATTTGATATAGGGATTGATCTGGTGAATCCCATCTTAATGTGCATCCAAGGATGAAGATCTCTTATCACCGAAACCCAACCATATATATGTGTGTGTTGGTAATCAAATGAGAACCATAAAAAATTATAAACTTGCAAGAACCAATCTAAAATTTATTTTTTCACATTATTTTTTTCATCAAATGCTATATTATGTACACAAAAAACATGTGAAACTCTTTTTTTGGTTCATACAGTCAAACAAAGATTACATGTAAAATAGTTGCAATTTTTTTTATTAATCATAGGTGTTTGAGTCCTCTTACGTCCACCTCGACCAATCTCAAGGTCCTGGAGAATAATCAGAAAAATTCTCAGTCATGACCTTATAAGACCCAAACAAGTAAAAAATCATTATAAACGTATTTTAAATCAGTTCTCACGTTTAAAAACTGTATATGTTTCTTATCTAATTTCACACACATACATAGGTATGTATGTATATATATATATATAGAGAGAGAGAGAGAGAGAGAGATGAAAGTTTAAACCAAAACACCCTTATCACATGTGATAATACACGTGAGAAATACCGGTGGCGTGCGGGTTATTAGGCCCACAACCTAGGTCGTGTCGAAGGTTGCACATGTCTCTAGTTTACTATTACTTGTATATCATATGTGGTTGACTATAACAAAAAAAATATTATTTTATGTTTTCATAAAATGAATATTTACTTGTTTTCCTATATATAATGTATGTATGTATGTTTGAAAGGTAAACTGGTAACTTTTTTTGTTACATGATATATGGTTCAGGTGACATTTGCCGTTCCTTGTGCTCTGGCGTCTATACTTTCTAACAATTCAAATGTAGGACAAGGTATAATCAACTAATTTTTTTTTAATTATTTTGTGATATAAATGATGTCTATCAACATTTTTTTATCATAAAATACATTTTTCCATATTTTATGTATATCTATTTAATCTGTAATATTTATTATACAGGTTTATCGTTAGGTGTTCTTAATCTTGCAATTGTTCTACCTCAGGTATGATCACACAGTTTTTATTCCGTAATTACATTTTGTTAGAAAGAAAAACGATGATTTAATAATAATATGAGTAATTATCATTTTTGTGTTAAAAAAAATACATTTCCGATATATATTAACTTTTATGGGGTGTTTGGGTTTGCTTATAAAAACAACATATTGACTTATTCTGATATGGCACCGGTAATAAGCACTTTTAAGTGTTGGGATAAATAACTTATACCAGTGTCAAACCAGTAATAAGAAGTTTTTAAAAAAGTTAAATCATTCTGACTTATAATAAAATTGATAAAATATTTTTGTAGAAAAGTATAAACTGTTTCAAAAAAAATTCAAAACACCTTTATCTCAATTTTTTATAAAGAGAAAACGTTAAAACTAAATAAATGTTTTCACTGAAAACGAAGTAAAAAAAACGTTTTCTATTTTACGGTCAAACATTTGAAGTTAGTGTTATATTTATGGTTTTTTAACAGTAATATATTTATTGTTTTATATCTTACAATTAATAATTACTTTTTCTCTGCATCTTGTATATTCATAAAAACAGATAAAGAGCTTAGTTCAAATGGTAAAATTAAATATTATGAGAAAAATAAGAATAAAGATTAAGAAAAGATTTGTATATGAATCATTGAGAAAGTTATAAGGAAATTTATTTGAAAATTTACATGTGAAGTGACATTACAGATTATTTATATTAGTTTACATATGCATCATCAAGTGAAAATTTTCAATAATTAACATATGAATCTGTTGTTAACATTTATTTCTGACTTTCTTACTTTCTCATGATATATATATATATATATATATATAAGAGAACCTGGAAAATATTTTGATTTCCGTGTTAAATACAAAATTTTGTCTAGCAATGGAATAAAAGGAATAACCATCGATTTTAAAATGCATATTTCAGATACATATATATATATGCTTAATCATTTGATAACTTCAAAATTTTTGAGATATGCAAGATCTATCCTATATAACTAGTTTAAGATAATTAATATTATTGATTTAATGTGATAATTATAATTATCTATTAAACAAAAATTAATGCATTTAAAATGAAATCCAGATACATCTTTTTTCCTCCCTCTTGCATTTTTCCGTAAACATACATGTAATTAATCGTGCACATAAAATAATCAAATTGTAAACATAATGTAAACAATCTTAAGATGTTTTTTACTAATGTGTTTATAAGTGATATACTTGGATATAGTTTTATTGATTTAATTGATGTTCACAAGCTACGGAGTTTACCGGGATAGATGGGCCCAAAAGCGATGATTCACTTGTCCCCTTGTCTATAGGGACCTCGTTGCATACAACTGAAACGATTCCTACTAGATAGTCGTTGATTCCTATATATCCACCCATGTGGTTACCAGATCTTATAAATTTAGACTGTATTCACAAATTATAAAAATATTTGTAAGAAAGTGTTCACTTTTTGTTCATATTCAATTCTGTGTGTGTACGTGTATGTTATAGAAAAAATAGGAGATGAAAAAAAATATTTAACATTTTATACCAGAATTATATTTTCAAAGTTAAAAGGCAAGTTGTTTACATATATTGATAGAGTTGGTCTTTTATACAACAGATGGTTGTTTCGATACTAAGTGGGCCGTGGGATGCATTATTTGGTGGTGGAAACTTACCAGCATTTGTTGTAGGAGCAATCGCTGCAGCAATAAGTGGAATATTAGCATTTACTCTCCTCTCGTCACCGCCTCCTGATGTCGTACTTGCAAAGGTCTCCGAAGCAGCAATGCACTAAGGTCTTCTAAAGTCTTACTTACAGATGAAATCTCAGTTCTATTGTCTAATAAAGAAGTATAAATGTGTCCAACTTTATGTTAGCAACTAGAGTGATGCTTGGTTGAGCAATTGGCGTGTTATAGTTGATGTCATCGACACTAAGGTCAATGACATCAAAAATGTTAAATCAATATTTTCATTATTATGTTGTTTGAATTTGTGAGAAAAAGCGGTCCTTAAATCATCACGCAACGCAAGTCATACCCAGATTATAGATCAAATGTGCTATGTTCAGTTGTCAAATGTGATATTAAAAAATCTCTCGTCTTGACCTTCCCTATGCCACCTCGTTTTTATCCAATGGTATTTTGCCATCTAATCATTTTCTATATTAACTAATTTTGAAACCTTTTAGCACCGTTAACTTCCCCACCTCCTGAAATACACTACTCTTACCACTCTCCTTTTAATTAATACTAGTACATGGCATCATGCGTTGTGCGATGTAAAAATGTGTTGTTAGAGAATAAATATGTAATTATTTTGAGATGAAGCATAACTTGTTAATTCATTGACAACTAATAAAATACAATGTAAAACACTGAATGTACTTGTAAATAGTAATTGATGCAACGCAAGATAAATGAACGAAGATTGATCCCGTTGATTCTACGAACACTTTTGCAGAGCGTGTTCCTCGTTTCAAGTTTCGAATCGATATATTAAGAACCTAAAATAGAGTCTCACACAAAAGTTATGCGCATTTAAGCGCAGACACCCTTTGTTAGCCTGGTCATGGGACTTCCTAAAGAATAGGGCATGGTCCTCCACACCATGACCCGCATCAGTAATGCTCCGGTGTTGAAATTAAAGTTGTACAAAAATGGTTAGTTACAAATGTGTATACAGTATTCAGAATTATACTGGTAGAACACAAAAATAATCTTTCCAATATAACTTAATGTTTGTTTTGCAACCTATTTATTAAACCGGTTTTGAAATGAGTTGCACATAAAAGAAAACTATAACAAACCATCATATGAAGTTAGTTAATTGCATATAGAAAAAACAATTTAATAAATTAAAAAAACACTATATTATAAAAACTCTTTTTATTATATATTCATACCCATATAGCCACCTCCGTGAAAAAAAAAAATATGCATTCAAAATCAAATAAAATATGTTATATAGCTAATGGTATCGATTTCTTTTGGTTGACATGTTTTCTAGCAAAAACAGGGAGATCTTTTGATTCAAGTACCATTTATATTGTTTTCTTGAATAAGGTTTAACTATGCAGATAAATGCAATTTTCAATTTTTGTGAACTTTTTGATTTTTGCAAGTGCATTTATCTTGATCTGGAAAAGTCAAACGGGGTTGGATACTCATATCTAATTGTCAAAAGCTGTGAATTCATTTTTCATGTACTTTTTTATACAATTTATTCTAGAAAATTATCTGTGGTAATACTTTATTTTTTCGAAACGATAAACAACATTGGTTAGCTAAGTATCAACATCTTCCTTTATTTTGCTTGTTATTATCCGCTCAAACATGAATCTCAATATAATTTAATACTTTTAAGATTTCACGTTCTTGTTCATAAACATTATTTGTTTATAATAATTAAATTAACATTAGAGACGCTTTTTAGACATATTATAAACGAAATTTCTAAAATTACATTTATGATTAATATTGATTATGTTATAATTGTTAAATATATAGTTGCAAGGAATAAATATATTTATTCATTCATGAACTTTCTTTATTCGAATTTTTTTTTTCAAGTTTGTAAAATCTCTTTACATTTGTTCCATCAACTAACAACCAACTTTTTTGGTTAACTCAAATTAAATAGAGGACATTTAAAATATTATATCATTAATGTTTTTTTATTATTTTTTGTCAAAAAATTATAGTATAATACTTATATAAACTCTAAAAAGGAGCAGGATTCAAAGACAAAATCAAGCATAAAAAACCTCCTTCTGCTCATAAAAATGTCAACCCCTTTGAGACTTTAAAGGAGAAAAAGACAAACAAATTCATATAGATATGGATATCATGGACAACCTTTTTGTTGAAATGTTTAATAGTATGAACTAAAGATGCCAAAAAGAGTTAGAGGCTATTAGGAAGCCGTATCCTTTCAAGCTTTTGAAAGTAGTTTAAACTCTTTATCTTCTATCTGTATAATCAAAGATTTGGGGTAATCTTATTCATCACATATCTTCATGATTCAATGTTGATGTCATTAATGTGTAGTGCTTCGGAATACCTTGATAACTTACGTTTGAAGAAGAGATTCAAATGCTAGAGGTTTGTAACTTGTAAGAATATAACGCTAATACCTTCAACTAATCTAGCAAATGATGTTTACACAAACTTAAGAGAAGAAAAATTAGAAAGTTTATCGGGAAATATGGAGAGTTATGGAGGTTCAAGATGCATGTAAATTTACTAAAAAAAGGCTTGTACAAAATGAAACACACATTTATTATATAGGGACGACAACTTCTTTTTTCTTATATTAGACATATTTTAAAAATAAAAAAAATAAAAAAAAGAGAAATAAAGATTCTAACATTAGGAAATGCCATGTAAACACTATTGGGTTTTCCTTTAATATATATATATATAGAGGTTGGTTTAAATAGAAACCAACCATATGATGCAAACTAAGCTAACCAACCTTAACCAATCACATTCTTTCTTCACTTTAGGTTCAAATCTAAATTATAAATTAATGATAAGGGTAATTTTGTAATTTAACCTTTTTGTAACCCCCTAATAATTAATTGGGAGTTACAAATCTTAAAAGATACCTCTAATTGATCATGAGATTTTTCTGATTTCTTTATTATTTCATGTTCATGTTCTTCTTTTCAAGTTATGTTCTACATATATTGAAATTGGGTTGTCTAAGTGTACAAGATTTTCGTTTCGT